AATTTACCTGACAAAGAGTTCAAAGTAATGGTCATAAAGATGCTTACCAAACTGGAGAGAAGAATGGATAAACACAGTGAGAACTTCAACAAAGAGATGGAAAATATAAGAAAGTACCAAATAGAAGTCACAGAGCTGAAGGATATAATAATTGAACTGAAAAATACACTAGCAGGTTTCAACAGCAGACTAGATGAGCAGAAGAAAGGATCAGTGAACTTGAAGACAAGGCAGTGGAGCTCACTCAATCAGAGCAGCAAACAGAAAAAAGAATGAAAAAAGGTGAAGACAGTTTAAGGGACTTATGGGACAACATCAAATGGACTAACGTTAGTATTATAGGGCTCTCTGAAAGAGAATAGAGAGAGAAAGGGGCAGAAATATTATTTGAAGACATGATGGCTGAAAACTTTCCTATCCTGAAGAAGAAAAAGGAAACCAGATCCAGAAAGCCCAGAAAGTTCCAAACAAGATGAACCCAAAGAGACCCACACCAAGACACATTATAATTAAAATGTGAAAAGTTAAAGACAAAGAGAAAATTTTAAAAGCAGCAAAAGAAAAATAACTTGTTATGTACAAGGGAATGTCCAAGACCATAAGCATGTTTTTCAGCAGAAAACTTGCAGGCCAGAAGAGAGTGGCACAATATATTCAAAGTGCTGAAACAAAAAACTTCCAACCAAGAATACTCGACCTGGCAAAGTTATCATTCGGAATTGAAGGCAAAATAAAGAGTTTTCCAGACAAGCAAAAGCTAAAGGAGTTCATCACCACTAAACTGGCTGTACAAGAATGTTAAAAGGACTTCTTAAGCTGAAAAGGAAGGGTTCTAATAAGTAACAAGAAAACATATGAAAGAATAAATCTCACTGGAAAGGTAAATACATAGTAAAGGTAGTGGATTAATCACTTATAGAGCTAGTATGAAGGTCAAAAGACAAAAGTAGTAAAAATTACTATGATTACAATAATTAGTTAAGGGATGCACAAGATAAGATGTAAAAGGTGACATTAAAAACATAAAATGAGGGGGAGAATAAAAGTGTTGAGCTTTAGAATGCAATCAAACTTAAGTTGTTATCAACTTAAAATAGACTGTTATAAATATAAGTTGTTATATGTAAGCCTTATGGTGACCACAAAGCAAAAACCAATAGTAAATACACAAAAGATAAAGAGAAAGGAATATAAGCATACGACTAACGAAAGTCATCAAAGCACAAAGGAAGAGAGCAAGAGAAGAAGAAAGGAACAGAGAGGAACCACAAAAACAACTGGACAACAACTAACAAAATGGCAATAAGTACATACTTATCAATAATTACTTTCAATGTAAATGACCTAAATTCTCTAATCAAAAGACATAGAGTGGCTGAATGGATAAAAAAACAAACCTATTGATATGCTTCCTACAAGAGATTCACTTCAGATGTAAGGGCACACACAGACTGAAAGTGAAGGGATGGAAAAAGACATTCCATACAAATGGAAACCAAAAGAAAGCTAGGGTAGCTATACTTATATCACACAAAATCAACTTTAAAACAAAGGCTATTATAAAAGACAAAGACAGGCATTACATAATGATAAAGGAGTCAATCCAACAAGATGATACAACATTTGTAAATATTTATGCACCCAACATAGCAGCACCTAAATATATAAAGCAAATATTAACAGACCTAAAGGTAGAAATTGACAGCAATACAGGAAGAGTAGGCGACTTTAATGCCCCACTTATATCAATGAATAGATCACCCAGACAGAAAAGCAGTAAGGAAACATTGACCTTAAATGACATATTAGACTAGAAGAACTTACAGATATATACAGAACATTCCATTCAAAAGGAACAGAATACACACTATTTTCAAGTGCACATGGAACATTCTCCAGGATAGATCACATGTTAGGCCACTAGCAAGTCTTAATAAATTTAAGAGGATTGAAATCATATCAAGCATCTTTTCCAACTCAATGTTATGAAACTAGAAATCAATTACATGAAGAAAACTGGAAAATTCACAAATACGTGGAGATTAAACAATATGCTACTGAACAACCAATGAGTCAAAGAAGAAATCAAAAGAGAAATCAAAAACTACCTTGAGACAAATAAAATGGAAATATAACATACCAAAATACATGGGATGCAGCAAAAGCAGTCATAAGAGGAAAGATCGTAGTGGTCGTAGTCAAGAAACAAGAGAAGTTTCAAATAAACAACTAACTTTGCACGTCAAAGAACCAGAAAAAGAAGAAGAAATAAAACCCAAAATTAGTAGAAGAAAGGAAATAACAAAGATTAGAGCAGAAACAAATGAAATAGAGACTAAAAAGACAACAAAAAAGATTAATGAAAATAAGAGCTTGCTCTTTGAAAAGATAAACAAAATTGACAAACTTTTAGCTAGACTCACCAAGAGAAAAAGAGAGAAGACTCAAATAAAATCAGAAATGAAAGAGGAGATAATACAACTGATACCTCAGAAATACAAAGGATCATAAGAGACTACTATGAACAATTATACACCCACAAATTGGATGACCTAGAAGAAATAGATAAATTCCTAGAAACACACAACCTACCAAGACTGAATCATGAAGAAGTAGAAAATCTCAACAGATCAATTACTAGTAAGGAGATATTTCAGTAATCAAAAACTTACCAGGGCCGGCCCCATGGCTTAGCGGTTAGGTATGCGCTCTCCGCTGCTGGTGGCCCGGGTTCGGATCCCGGGCGAGCACCAACGTGCCATTTCTCTGGCCATGCTGAGGCCACGTCCCACATAAAGCAACTAGAAGGATGTGTAACTATGATGTACAAATATCTACTGGGGCTTTGGGGGAAAATAAATAAATAAATAAAATAAAATAAAAAACTTATAAAAAAAAAACTTCCAAAAAACAGATAGGACCAGATAGCTTCACTTCACTGGTGAATTCTACCAAACAGTCAAAGGAGATTTAATACCAATCCTTCTCAAACTTCTAAAAAATAGGAGAGTAGGAAACACTTCCAAATTCGTTTTATGAGGCCAGCATTACCCTGATACCAAAAGCAGACAAGGATGCCACAAGAAAAGAAAATTACAGGCCAATATTCCTGATGAACATAGATGCAAAAATCCTCAACAAAATATTAACAAACTAAATTCATAAACATATTAAAAGAATCATAGACCGTGATCAAGTGGGATTATTCCAGGGATGCAAGCCTGGTTCAACATCTGCAAATCAGTTAATGTGATACACCACATTAACAAAATGAAGGAAAAAATCATACGATCATCTCAATAGATGCAGAAAAAGCATTTGACAAAATTCAACATTCATATATGACAAAAAAAAACTCTCAATAAAGTGGATATAGAAGGAATGTACCTCAACATAATAAAGGCCATTTATGACAAGCCCACAGCCAACATCATAGTCACTGAAAAGCTGAAAGCTTTTCCTCTAAGATCAGCAACAAGAGAAGGATGCCCACTCCTACCACTTTTATTCAACGTAGTATTGGAAGTCCTAGTCAGAGTAATTAGGCAAAAAAAAGAAATAAAAGGCATGCAAATTGGAAAGGAAGAAGTAAAACTGTCATATTTGCAGATGACATGATATTACATATAAAAAAGCCTCAAGACTCCACCAAAAAACGGTTAGAGCTATTAAACAAATTCAGTAAAGTTACAGGATACAAAATCAATACACAAAAATATTTTGTGTTTCTATACACTAATAACAAACTATTAGAAAGAGAAATTAAGAAAACAATCCATTTACAATTGCATCAAAAAGAATAAAATATCTAGGAATAAATTTAACCAAGGAGGTGAAAGCAATCTGAAGAAAGAAGAACGAAGATGGAGGCATCATACTCCCTGATTTCCAACTCTATTACAAAGCTATAGTAATTAAAACAGTGTAGTATTGGCATAAAAACAGACACATAGGTCAATGGAACAGAACAGAGATCCCAGAAATAAACTCACACAATATTATGTCAATTAATTTACAACAAAGGAGCCAAGAACATACAATGCGGAAAGAACAGTCTTTTCAATAAATGGTGTTGGGATAACTGGACAGCCACTTGGAAAACAATGAAACTGGACCACTATCTTACACCATAGACAAAAATCAACTCCAAGTGGATTAAAGACCTGAAACCATAAAAGTCCTAGAAGAAGACATAGGCAGTAATCTCCTTGACATAGGTCTGACGATGATTTTTGAATCTGACACCAAAAGCAAAAGCAACAAAACCAAAATAAACAAGTGGGACTACATCAAACTAAAAAGCTTCTGCACAAGAGAGGAAACCATCACCAAAGTGAAACGGCAATCTACTGAATGGGAGAAAATATGTGCAAATCACGTATCTCCTAAGGGGTTAATAGTCAAAATATATAAAGAATTCACACAACTCAATAGCAAAAAAACAAAAATCTAACTAAAAAATGGGCAGTAGATCTGAATAGACACTTTTCCAAAGAAGACACACAGATGGCCAACAGGTACATGATAAGATGCTCAACATCATTAATCATCAGGGAAATACAAGTCAAAACTACGATGAGATATCACCTCACACCTGTTACAACGGCTATTATAAAAAAGACAAGAAATAACATGTGTTGGCAAGGATGTGGAGAAAAGGGAACCCTTGTGTATATACAAGGGTTGTATTGTGGTATATACATAAAATGGAATATTATTCAGCCATTAAAAAAAGGATGAAATATTGCCATTTGCAACAACATGGATGGACCTCAAGGGCATTATGCTGAGTGAAATAAGTCAGACAGAGAAAGACAAATACTGTATAATCTCTCTTACATGTGAAATGTTAAAAAAAAACAAACAAACAAGCTCAAAGATACAGAGAACAGATTGGTGGTTGCCAGATGCAGGGGTGGGGAGTGGGAGAAATGAGTGAAGGGGTCAAAGGTAAAAAATTATTATTAAATAATACCCATAAAGCATTTGGTAAAATAGTAATGTTCAATTAATATGTGTATATGGCATATGTAAATGCACACACACACACTTGAAGGCAGAGGATCCAACCATTTCCCCAACACACACAAAAAAAACGAAAATAAGTATTGGCAAGGATGTGGAGAAATTGGAACGCTTGTGCACTGTTGGTGGAAATGTAAAATGGTGCAACCATTATGGAAAACAGTATGGTGGTTTCTCAAAAAATTAAAAATAGAATTACTATATGATCCAGAAACCCCACTTCTGGATATATATCCAAAAGAATTGAAAGCAGGATCTCAAAGATATATTTGCATTCCTTTGTTCTAGAAGTATGTTTTACAATAGCCAAGAGCTTGAAGCAACCCAAGTGTCCACTGACAGACAAATAGGTAAAGAAAATGTGGTATATATATACAGTGGAATATTATTATTCAGCCTTAAAAAGGAAGGAAATTCTATCACATGCAATACCATGGATGAACCTTGAGGACATTATGCTAAGTGAAATAAGCCAGTCACAAAAAGATGAATACTGTACAATTTCACTTATATGAGGTACCTAAAGTAGTCAAATTCATAGAGACAGAAAGTAGAATGGTGGTGGCCAGGGGCTCAGGGGAAGGAGAAATGGGGAGTTATTGTTAAATGGGCGCAGAATTTTCAGTTTTGCAAGATGAAAAATTTTCGGAAATCTATTTCACAGCAATGTGAATATGCTTAATACTACTGTACTATACACTTAAAAATGGTTAAGATGGTAAATTCTTTTTTTTATTGAGGGAACATTGGTTTATAACATTATATAAATTTCAGGTTTACATCAGTATAGTTTGATTTCCGTGTAGATTACATCACGTTCACCACTCAAAGACTAATTACCATCCATCACCACACACATGTGCCTAATCACTCCTTTCACCCTCCTC